CTCCAGCAAAACCACCTCTGCAGTGCAGCAGCCTCCCCTCCCCGCGGGGCTGGCTGCGGGCAGCGGTGAAGTGAAGCCGAGTGAGGAGCAAGGTTGGTCCTGCCAAGAGAAAAAACAGCTGCAGAGCCTCTGGGTCATCTCTGTGTGGGTGACTTTTGCAGGAAACCCAAAAGACCTCTCCAAATTTCTGCTGCCATGGGGCAGGGAGCCCTGGGAGGGCTGGGAGTGCACCCCTTTCTGGGGCAGAGACCACAGAACCCAAATGAAACTGCAATGGGAGAGTGTTGGCCACCAGCACAGACCAGCCACAACCTGCATCTTGTACCAGCTGCCTCCTGCTCCCTGCAGCCAGGGTGGGCTTCTTCCTACATGGATGCCACCCCCTCTCTGGGAACCAGGCACAACTTTTGAGGGGGCACCCCCTTGCCAGAGGCTTTTCCCCCAGCCCCAGGGGCTTTGCTCGACAGTGCTGGAGCAGGCTCCAACCTCCTGGCAGCCTCACCGTCCCCATCCACCTCCTGCTGAGGCCAAACCCTGCAGCGCTGAGCCCCTTCCAGGGCACCGTGGGCCAGGGGAGGATCTGGCCGCTGGGACCAATGCCTATGGGCAGAGCCCTGCAGGCTGATTTGGGCTCAGGTTTGAGACCCACCACATCTCGCCCGCCTCAAGGAGCTGGTATTTGCAAACCAGTCAGTGTATAGGAGTGTCCTCTCCTGAAAGGGAGGGATGATGCCAAAAGCAGGTTAACCCCCTTGAAGGGAAGCACCTGTGCCAGCTGCTGGAGAGCTTTGGCTTATCTTCCCTGGCTGATGGTGATGCCAAGGTTCACTGCTTGAAGGAGTTTGTTAGAGGAGTGGTGTTGCTCCCCGTCATGCCCTTTTTGGGGGTCCCACTCACCTATCGGAGCATCCCTGAGTGTCTGGGTGCCGACCGGGCAACTGACTCATTGCCTGCCCTCTGTGGGCAGCCCGACCCACCAGCTTCCATGGCTCAGCCCCACACGGCACCAGCTTTATTTAGCATGCAGTGCCCAAGTTGCCAGTTCCCAGGTCTCACCCAGCCCCGCACCCCCCCTCAGCCCAACCGCCGGGCTTTGTGCAGCTGTACAAAGGAGAACCTGTCTGGGCTGCTCTGCGGTGCAGGAGCTGGCTGATAATTAAACAAAAGCAAAATAGCCTTGGCATGAAACTTGACCTTTCTGAAGCTGGGAGCGGGGGCAAAAGAGAATTTTGCATCATTTCTGGTGGTGATTATTTTCATGAATTATGTTTGTTTGGTGGGGATCTCTGTGCTGGGGGAGGAGGAGTCCCTGTGCTGCGATGATGTGCTGGGATGTGGGACACAATGTCCAGGCTGACCATTCCCATGGCACATTGGTCCCTCTGTGCCCCACAGATGGAGAGGAGCACCCTCCAGCCGGCATCCTCCAGGATAACAGACAGTCCTCTCAGATGGAGGGATTTCAGTGCTGGGGCGATGCCAGTGCCTAGAGTGTGCTGGCCCTGTCCGTATGTGGGAAGGAGGCAGTGACGCTGTGCCTGAGCCACCTTCATCCCAGCTCAGGGAGCTGATCCCCAATTCTTGACACCCTCTGCTTTATAAAGAGCCCTGCAATGCCCAGGTGCCCAAATTGCTCCCAGGAAGGGGCTCTGCTTGGCTTCTCCCCTTAGCCCCAGCTGCGAGGGGTCCCCCTCCCCTGTGCCCATCCCCATCCCTTGCTGCGCTTCCCGACACGGGGCTACCACCTCCTGTGCCCACACCCAACAAAGCCCGGTGGCAAATTAATCTTAACTGAGTACCCAGGATTGTTGCTGTGATCGTTGTTACGCCGTGTCCTGCCTGATGCAGTGTTAATGATTAACAGCCCAATTTCAATGTCAGCTCCTGCCTGCTGCCTTTCCAATCGCCTTTCCATCACCTCCTCTGATATCCTGACGAATAACCCAGGCATGGAAAGCATCCTTGGGGCTGGGTGGGCACCCAGGATGATCTATCTCTGGGGCAGGGAGAAGGAGGAGGAGAAGGGGATCCAGGGAAGAAAGCTGTGCCTCATTTCTTCTGCCTGCCTGTGTTCTTCGAGGGTGTCCTCTCCTCCCCAATCTGGGGACGTCTCAGCCAGGCTGTTATGGCAGGCAGGGGGAAATCCCTCGCAGCAGGCACTCCTTGGGCAGCTGATGCCAAATTAGTTTACTTTTGCTTCCTGTTCACTCCCTTTATCAGCACAAAGCAGTAGTGCTGTGATTCCTCCTCCCACTCATGATGACCCTGTCCCCCACCAAAAGCTAACTCCCAGGAGGAAGAGGGCAGCTCGTTTGCTAAAGCCCTGAGTGCTGCCAGCACACACAACAGGGTGTTGCCTGTTGTGCCTCCGAGCAGGTGATGCTGGTGGCAAACGCGCCCTGCAAACCTCTTGGGACTTTGGCCCGTGCGCGGCACCCATCATGGTGGGGCAAGACATGAGCCAGCTCCCTGTGGGGCAGGCTCCTCAGGTATCTACCTTCCCCAGTTGGTTGGGGGTCCAGCCCCTCATTTCTCCCACCCTGTGCCCTGCGGGATGCTGCCAGGGGGGTCGGATCTGGCCCACGCAGCCCAGCCTCCCACCCACACACCGGCCCCTTCTGTGTTGGCTCCGAAGGAGCAGCTCAGCCTTGAGCCGTCCCGGGGAAATTCCCCTCGTGGGCTCTGGAAGCAGCTGTTTTCCACGGGGAGGTCCAAGGCCGCTGCGAGAGGGGGAAACGCAGTGACATTGGGCTGGTCCCCATCGCAGTGGGGCTTGTGGGGTCGCAGCAGATGGGATGAGACCGGAGATGCCACACAGTTCCCAGGGGCTCCAGGCAGGTGGGGATCTGCATGTACTCCTTTTTCCCTGTACAGAGCAGACCTTGGAGCATGGGGACCAAACATCACCAATTTGCTGAGCCTGGCCCTGACGGTGACCCCAGCTCTGCTGCCCAGTGTCCCCAGCACAACCGGGTGTCTCCCCCCACCAGCCTCATCACCTCCCCAGCCAGGAGAGGGGCAAACACAACCCAGGCCAAAAGCAAAGTCTTCCCCAGGCCCAGCCACCCTGCCCATTTCTCCCGCCGGCTCTGCTCATCCCGGAGGGTTTTGGCACCCACACAGGGGTTGTTGCCCACGGTGAGTGGCACAAGCCATGGCCAGGGAGCACCACAGGGTGCGTG